TCGGTAGGAGGCGGCCTTTCTAGAACGGGATGTTCCTCCAAAAACTCAGCTATGAAGTCTGCTAATACCTGATCTTTTATAGCGGTTCAAGGTTTGAAATGAATGTCGTGTTCCCCCAGCTCCACTGCCCACTTGAAAATCCTTCCAGAGAGTTCCGCTTTCCTCAAAATGGCCTTTAAGGGCTGATCGGTAAGGACGGTAATTGGGTGCGCCTAGAAATAATGCCTCAGTTTTCTTGCAGTGGTGACCAGGGATAGAGCCAGTTTCTCTAGGGGTAGGTATCTTGTCTCTGCGTCCAGGAGCACCTTGCTTATGTAATAAATCGGCTTCTGCCGGTGTTCATGCTCACGAATAAGTATCCCACTTACCATAAATTCAGATACGGATAAGTACAAGAAGAGCATTTCCCCCTGGATAGGGACGGATAAGGTCGGGAGAGTCCTGAGGTATTCCTTGATTCCAGCCAGGGCGTCTTCGCACCCCTAACTCCACGTATCCTTCCCAGTACTCTTGATTGCTCTGAAAAAAAGTTTGCATTTGTCTAAGGAGCGTGAGACGAAACGGTTAAGTGCTGCCAGCATCCCCGTGAGCTTTTGGACTTCTTAGACAGTTCGGGGGCTCCGGATGTCCAGGATCGCTTGAATCTGATCAGGGTTAGTTTCGATTCCTCGTTGACTGACCAGATATCTGAGAAATTTACCCGATTCCACTCCGAAAACGCACTTTGTCGCGTTCAGCTTCAGCCCGTACTCCCTGAGGGTGGAGAAGGTATCTGCCAAATTTGCCAGATGATCACAGCTTCGTTTGCTCTTTACCAGCATATTGTCAATGTAGACCTCCATGGTGTTGCCGATCTATTTTTTGAACATCCAATTCATCAGTCTCTGGTATGTCGCCCCGACGTTCTTTAGTCCAAACGGCATCACTTTGTAACAGTAAACTCTCTTCGGAGTGATAAACGCCATTTTTTCCTGATCTGGGGGATGGAGAGGGATCTGGTGATATCCTGAAGTCCCCGACAGGATGTCTTCTGAAGTCCTTGAGTTCATCAATAGGCCCCCCATTTCCTGGGCGCCGTGTGGATAGGGTTGAATCCTTCTCGGACTCATCTCCCTTCCTCCGTCTCGACAATCCTCACCGGAGGTCGTCCAGGGCTAAAGGTCTTGCCTTCCTGGAATGGTCGTTAAGAGGGTGCTCGTTGGCTCTCGATCGTTTCGGGGCCCTGGAGCTTTCTGCCTTGTTGTTTAGATGATTCCTTAGATTCTTCGTCTCCGCCTCCCGGGCGGGGAGCCCACGAGAAAGGAATGAGTCCCTCGACCCTTCACCAGAGGCGGCAAATTCGTTGAGCCGACTTAGGACGTTTACATTGTCCTTTTCCAACTGTCGTAATCTATCGCCAAACTTTTCTTCGATCACCTCCGCCAGCTGACGAGTCAAGGGGGCTGATCCTCCTGACCTGATTCCCGTACTGGCTTGAGGGGTAACCCCTCTTGACTGAATAGAGGCATTTTTATTCTCATCAGTGTAATCCCTCCCTCCATGGTGACATGGAGCTTGTAATTCGAGATTTCTTTGTTGGGGACCTTTCCCTTTTTGTCGAGTATTCACCATGGTCATTGTTCTTTATAGAAAAAAAAATAGAAAAACTAGACGTTTCCCACAGACGGCGCTAGATTGTGCGTGCTGGATCTTGCACAATATAAACACGAGAACAGATCTCTCCCTTGGTGAACTCGAGTGAGTTAGTCGAGTGGTCAACCCCGCTGCTTGGAACAGCCTGTGAGGTTCGGTGGTAACTTGAAACAGTAATGGGAGACCCTCGTGGATCAATGGAACGATCCAGTAAGGCTGAAGAAGGTTCCTGGAACAAAGAAGAACAAGTTAGAAGGGCGCCGGAGTGTTTTCCGGCGTATCCCCTCCGACGATCAAGTCAGTCTTTGAGAGAGAGGAAGAAGAAAACACTGAATATGTATTGTAGCAAAGGTTTTTTGTTGCATACCGTCTTGCCTTTTGCGAGGAGTATTTATACCTCAAAAACTCATGATTGCTGTCAGTGTAGTCAGTAGGTGATCATTAGGTACAGACAATGTGCGCACTGATTCCGATGAGGAATGTCTTATCTTTTAACTGCTCGGGATCCTGAGCAATCAATGCTGTGTCATCGGGCTGCCAATTGTTCAATGAGCTCCTCTCGGAGAGGATGAAATAAATGTCCAGCCTTAGAGACATTTATTGCCTTTCACTTCCGAGCCTTACCGCATTGAATGCAGTCTCATCAAGGGAATGATGTAATTAAATTCTTGCTTTCCCAAGTCGTGTGTCAGCAAGGGCATGCGGTCTTTCTGTCTCTGATGTGACACAATATGTCACGCGTCCATTCCCCATTGGCTGTGGCCCCTGCCTTCCTGTGCCTTCTGACACCAATTGTGTAAAACGAGGTCATGATAGCTAACCTAGCCTAGTCTAGGCTAGTGACCTGTATATCAATAACCTCTGTAGGAGCAGAGAACGCCACCCTGGACGGAGGTACATCTCGGACCCGAGGGAGAAGTTCATCTCGGAGCCGATGGGAGGTGTATATAGGGACCAATGTACCCATATCAGACCAAGAGATACGTGTCAGTTTGTAAACGTACTGGATGCCACTTGATCCCTATGACAAAGTACCTCGGGAGAGAGAGACTTGTGAACCGATGAGTACGTGATCTCAGTAACAGGTTTTAGTGACACCGAGAAAACACGTGTCTTAATCTTTAAATATTTTGAAAATGTCTCATCAGTACATGTATCTTTCATCTCCTTTATCTCTATTTACATAAGAAAAAAAAACAAAAGGATGTGAATGAAAGATGGACGCCCAACCCATACATCCTGAGCATAGAGCTAAACTGGAATGTGATGCATTTAAATAAAAGAACGAACTCAATAGAAAAACTGCAACTGAAACAAGACCAGAATTTAAAAGACGAGTAAGAAAAAACAATATTTATTTTCATCCAAAAATAAAATAGGAACCAACAGCAACAAAAAGCAAATCAAAAATAGAAAAATTGAAAGCAAAAAAGGGTAACATAATTAATTTGTTGATATGCTTGTTCTAAAAATTCATTACTATCTTTAATATTCTCTATGAATTTTGAACACTCCAACTGTAATCACTCATTTATAATGGTTATCAGTTTCTCTTTCTTAATTTCTTCTTATACTTTCTTATTTAATTTCATACACTATTTTTATTTTTTAATAAAAAAACGAAAAATAGGTATGGAAATTAAGTGGGCCCCGCCTGGGCAATGGACCGGAAATGGCCACACCGACACGACTCGATATAGAACGTACAATTCATGAATCCAAACGCCTCACATGGGTGTGGGATAGGACAACAAAACAAAATATTCAACGGTGTAAAGCTAAAGACTAATAAAGATGGGTAATTAACTAGCTATGATAATGCAATGAGGGGTCGGTTGGTGGGGTATTTATGTCATATGCTTGCCTTCATTTATCGTCTACCAAGTTTATTTTAGACTGTTGAATGAATTTATTAAATTTTATCTTATTTTACATTGTAAATTATTACACTAAAAGATTTTTAGGTGAGTAATAGCAAAACAAGATTTTTTTTCATTTTTTTGGTGGATCAGTTATTGTATATATATATATATTTTTTATTATAAGGTATTCAAATTTACACCAACTACTTTCTCAAATTCAGATACTGATCATCATAATTCAAACTGATTTAAAACATATTCTACGAGGAATAAAGACAACTGACCTTTAACGGATATGAAAAGTGTTAAACCTAAGACTTTTAAATTATTAGAGGTCAAACTCGACTACCGAACCATCTCTAAATGTTACTTATTGCATATTCAAGCAGAAGTCATTATTTATAAATAAGTTTCTCATCTATTAATATTGGATAATTTGTTAAAAAAAAATTTATTGATGGGGATTCAGATCTGAACAAAATGATTACACAGCTTGAATTAGAAAAAAAGATGTAGTTGATGTGATTAAAGAAGATACAATTGTGAGAATCTTATGAAAAGATGGAGTAATGAAAGAATACTAAGAATTGAAGACCCGAAGAATAAAGTCGATGGTCACTTTTACTTATTTAAGAGGAGGAATAAACAGACATAAGAGATTGTGAACTTTTCTTTAGATGCTGATGTATGATTAAGGACACCCCTTTGACCAGTACAGTTCCTATCTGGATCTGCTAGGAAGGAGAAAGGAGAAAAAAGCAACGCCTTTGGATCTATCAGGACATATCATGTGAGAGAGTATACAGAGAGGCAATTCTACTGAATGTTTCCGCTGTCTCACTAGGTTTGTTGGGCATTAAAGCTTCAACTTCGGGATCAAACAGAGAATATTAAGATTTTAGGGGATCAAATACATAAAATTCAGTGGAATTATTTGTAATTTCTGAGACCTGGGGAGGTCATTGCCTCCCTGATTATGAATTTGAGTCTCTATCCCTGTTTCAACGGTCAGGATGTCCAGACTAAATTACACGCACCTCAACTAATTTTCTCTTCGGTCCGATTGAAGGCAGACCATCAACGCCGAAATTAGAGTATTTATGAAGAATAAATCTGTCTTGGTCTGACCCCAACGAATTATCAAAATTCAAATTCAGAACGTTTGAATTTATAACTCATCTTTATTATCACTTTAGCTATCCTTGAGGTTCTCTCTTTTGTTAGAGCAATTCCAAGGGACTATCTAAAATGGGGTTTTAGCTGTTTTAGATAGCCAATTCAGAAATGTTGACTCCAATGGACTAGGTATCCCGCTAGGCATTTTAGATAACCCGATATTTGCTCGCTTCTTCTAGCGATCTACCCGGCTAGCTACTTCATCAACAAATGCCATATTTTGTGCCAAAATCCTCACTCCACAGAAGCTCCATCATCGCAGATCAGTCCAGATACAGCTAGTTACTAGTCCAGATCAAGATCTGCACACTCAATCCTCTCTTGTTAAAGGAACATTCGGAGAAGAGGAGAGGCACTGAACAAGAAAGAGCGAAGAGGAGGATTTTGGTGGCTTGGACAAGAGGATTTAGAGCACACTTCAATCGAATCCTCGCAGTTGGAACTTCTTCTGATTCGAACCCTTGGAGATTTGAATCTTCGGATGTTGTTCATCAACGATTTGGATTCTTGGGAATTGCAAGGTGAGAGAGAGATGATTGCTCATATCTGGTCGTCTGGTGAGTTGATTTCTTTGATTTTTGTTGGATCTCTCAATGTGTTATCATGTAATTAGGATCTTTCAGTGCTACTATTTTGTTGTTGAGGTGGTGTTGAGATCAATTCGATCTGATTTTAGAATTCTTTCTGATTCTTAACAATAATACATTTTAGAATTCTTTTTGATCTGACATGACATACTACATAATATTTTAGATTTTAATAATTAATAGTTAGTTAAAGTTAGTTAAAATGGTTAGCTAAAATAGATAGCGTGGTTAAGGTGAATTTAAAAAAATAGTTAGCTAAAGTAAATAGTGTAATAAAAAAATATATTTTCTAGCTAGTTTACACAGTCTCTTTGGAGTTGCTCTGTGTCGAGGGTAGCGGAATTTAATTGTACTTTAATGTTTATAGAATGAAATTGATTTAAATTCTTAAGGATTTAATGTGGAAAATTTTTGATTTAAATTCTTAATGATTTAATTTGGGAAATTTTTAATCTAATTTGATAAGTTTGAATTTAGTCTTATTTTTTTATAAAAAAAATAAATAGTTTAACATTAGCAATAACTCAATGTATAACAACGCTTAAATATAAATTTCTAGGTTTGCCACTATTTCACCCTCTCACATAATATAGGGGAATTTAGAAGTCAATACAATTTTTTAGAATTATGTGGGCAAAAATACAAGTCAAAAATATTATTTGGGATAAAGTGCATATTTTTTAAAAATAACACTATTGTTATCGGTAAACAGTATACGGATGAAAATTCTTTTTTTTTGGGATTACAATTAAGTAATAGGGGGTAAAATAGGAGCATATTTTTTTCTAACAATTTCTTTCTCCCTTTTTTCTCTTACTCTATTTATATTAATATTACAACAACACAATTACATTAATCAGTTACATCAATCAGTTACGATTGTCATATAATACACCAAACAGTTATTCATGCATTTTAATAAATCAAACAGTTGCACAAAATTATGACATTAACTTAATTTGTCACTCCATTATTTACATAAACTAAATAGTTGTACCATTTAGTACTGTGATATCATTACATTATCATACCTTAACAATTGCATGAGATTGTAATTATTACATCTATTAAAAAAATAATTATACCCATTTAAAAAACAATTACACTCATTAAAAAAAGAGTTACACCCATTAAAATAATAGTTATACCCATTAAAAAAAATAAAGAAGTTCTTTTTTTCCTACCTCCCAACAACGAATAATACATAATATCTAACAAAACATTTTGACCAATTCTTTTTTTTTTTTGGAAAAATTTAGAGTTTGATCAATAATCATAATAAAAAACTTTATTCATTTTGGTCAGATAAACATGAAAGCAAGATTAGTTACATGAGACAACATATATATATCAATTTGTTTCATACATATATAATGTGTGTGTATATATACACACATCTATATATATATGTGTGTGTGTGTGTGTGTGTGTGTGTATGTGTATATATATTAGTGTGTATATATATATATATATATTTTTTTTTTTTCACTTATACTTTGCACCCATACTCCTTCATCTTCATCTTCTAGCTCAAAATACCTCTGCTTTTACTCTCTCGCTTTCTGTAAACTCTTATTTTACCTCATATTATTATTGTTAATCTTTAAATATTTGTTTTCTCAAATAACTGTCAATGATGACTGTATAAATTAAGGAATGGTGTATAAGTAAAAAGGATTTTAATTCATTTCGAATTTTGTACCTAAACACAAAAATTTTATAAAAATTGTATTTAATAGAATAAATAACTTATTCATACATTTTTGCTCAAATAAGTTTAAAAAATTATACCCACACCCAAAAAAACCCCATAATGCTTACAAATTAAGCCCAAGCCCAGTATACTTTTGGGGCCTAAACCCAAAGTCCGGGTTAAGTTTTAATTAAGGAAATCCAATAACCAAGATCTGTCTCAGTGAGGTCAACCTACCTGACCCAATGGGCCGGTGTCGAATCAGTAGAGACCCCCACACTACACATACACAGACACACCAACCTCGTACAATTGTACTATCCACCGTCAATTGTTTTAGTAAATCTATTCACGGTCAGATTTACACCGACAAAGGTTATAACAATAGTCCCTGACATATCATAGCCCCCTTCAAATTAAAACCCGCAACAACCGAAAAACCCCTCCCTTATTATTTTTAATTTTTTTTCCCGAATTTTCTTGTCTTGAAGAAAAAGAAAAGCCGCTTCTCTTCTTCTACTGCAGAAACAGAAGAAGACCTTTGATTCATTTCAGACACACACAGTGTGCGTGAGCGTAGTTTGGGAAGTTGAAACGACTTGATTTTTAGAATCTAAGATGTTTAGGAACCAGTACGACACCGATGTGACGACATGGTCGCCGGCGGGAAGACTTTTTCAGGTAGAGTATGCGATGGAGGCTGTGAAGCAAGGGTCGGCGGCGATAGGCCTGAGATCGAAGACGCACGTCGTTTTAGCTAGCGTAAACAAGGCCAATTCTGAGTTGTCTTCGCACCAGAAGAAGATCTTTAAGGTGGATGACCATATCGGCGTCGGTATCGCCGGTCTCACCGCCGATGGACGTGTTCTGTCCCGATACATGCGATCCGAGTGCATCAATTACAGTTACTCTTTCGAGTCTCCTCTTCCCGTTGGTCGACTCGTTGTCCAGCTCGCTGACAAAGCTCAGGTCCAGAACCCTAATCTCTTTCTATCTATATGCAGTTTATGTATATATGTATGCATACTCTCTTTCGAATGTTGAATTTTTCGTTTGTATTGTGTGATTTAAACAGTGAAAATTGGGGCTTTAGTTCAGGTCTTAGGAATGGGAAATTTGCAACCTCTGTTCGAGTTATTGGAAAAAGAAGGAAAAGAAAGGGAAACATTTACAAGATATAGGCATCACGTGTTCTTTGGGTTCCAATGACTTCAAATAATTAAAATGAACCAACTAACTTTACTTGGCACTGCTGTGTGGAGGTTTTTTTTTTTCCCGCAGCCCAAAAGAGGACAAGTCCAAAATTTATAGCCCTTGGTTTCACAGTATACAAGCCGTGGAATATGGATATATGGGGGCCTTAATGTTCTTTTTAACGTTTGCTTGTGTTTCAGATAGTAACTCCCTGTTGGCAGGAATTTTCTCTTTCCCTTTCTTATCTATGCCCCCTTATGTCAAGCAGGCTTATGATATTTGTGGTTATATTGACATCCTAGGCATTGTAGGATTGCCAAACAGGTGGAGATAATTCAGTGACTTTGGTCTTGTTATTTATTAGTCCAAATCTGATCTATTTAAGTCAAATATATTTTGGGTGATGTTACTTACACACCTTCAATTTCTAATATAACAATGGTTAGTCCAAAAATTACTGAGGAGATGTTAATCATTTTCACATTTGTTGTTAGATGGATACTGCTTGTTAAGATTGTAATAATAATTATTTTTATTTATCATTATGATGGGATATTAGATTTGCAAACTTGTTCTCTCTTTCTCTTCTACATATGACTTTTCCACTTCTCAAGATTGATATAAGTTTTATCTGCTAAACCCAAGTTTGTCATTCAGTTGGAGAATCAGAATGGTTCTTTGGTTTGCACACTTTTTTTCCCGTGAGAAAACTTCTTACAACCTGCTTTTTCACCCAATATCAGATAAATACTTCTAATCATTCTAAAAGATCAAGTATCAATCATGTTTGATAGGTTCCGGTAAGGTTTAGGTGGGAGAGTGTGTCCATGTATCATTTCGGTAATCAACCTTCCTAAAATATTGGCTTGACCATATTTTTGATCTTTATTCAAGGAACATTTCATAACGTATCCCTGTGAACTTCAAGTGGACATGATGTGCGTTTCTCTTCTTTTGTAAATAAACCTGTAGGTAAGTGTGAGACACAGTGCGTCCCTCGTCCAAACTGTTGGATCATGATTCCAATAATGAGCATGGAACTTGTCCCAATGCATGCTTGGGCCTACTAACAATCTGATGGTAGAAACATCAGCTGCCATGATCCTCACCTTCTCTTTAGAAGTAGAAATTGAAGATATGTTATCTGTTTCCTCCCAAATTTCACACTGTTTAGCCAGTACTGCTAGAACCTATAAATTCTGTTGATTGGAAACAGAGGGTTGTGGATTTTCCTTGAACCTGAAATTGGACAAGTCTCTCACATCTTCTGTGCATGTGTTTTGTTGGGTGGTGTGGTAGTGATGTTGGTTTGAGGATGTTGCTGTTTCATATTGTGGTGGATCAGCTCATTTTCTTTTGTATTAATCACGTTCTTGTTGGCAGGTTTGCACACAGCGCTCATGGAAACGGCCATATGGTGTTGGTCTGCTTGTCGGTGGCTTGGATGAATCTGGAGCTCATTTGTATTACAACTGTCCAAGTGGGAACTACTTTGAATATCAAGCTTTTGCCATTGGGTCTCGTTCACAAGCTGCAAAGACATACTTGGAGCGGAAGTTTGAGAATTTCATGGACTCTTCAAGAGAGGATCTGCTCAAGCATGCTCTTTTTGCACTAAGGGAAACTTTACAAGGAGAGAAGCTGACCAGCTCGATATGCACGGTTTCTGTGTTAGGAGCAGGAGAGGCATTCCATATATTGGACCAGGAAACCGTAGAAGCATTGATCAATGCATTTGAAGTTGGTGCTGAAGAGGGTCCTACTGATGAGGGAGCAGCTGCGGACCAAGGTGGTGGTGCTACTGACCAGGGAGCAGCCTCTGCTGACGAGGGTGTCGCTGCAATGGATATTTGAAGATATGAAAATGACCAATAGTTGCCTCCCCATCTTGTCATAGAATGAGGATTATAAGAGATGGTAGTAGAAATGAGGTAATGGAACATGGTTGGCACCAATGGAAGACATCAGTTTCTGGTTGGATAATTTTTTTTAACGGTATTACTTTCTCCTTTATTGATGAAACCATTTAAAAGCTTGCCTATGTTGGACATCATTTTAAACTCATGTGTCGGGCATCATCTTAAACTCAATACTTGGATACGCCAGTTAAGCTTCTTAATGGAACATCCTGGTGATGTTCAATTGGATTTTACTTGCATTGGTTTTACGTCAAGAGGAATATTTTCTGCATAAATCTAGGTTTTTAATAGGTATCGTGCGGTGAGATTTGTTGATACTTAGGCTGGCAGAGACAGAAAATTATTTAACAAGATAAATTCATGCCCAGATAAAGCCTTTTAGTTTCACCAGTGCTTAAACGGGTGAGTGTGACATCTATTGTATATGTGGTTGAAGTTTGATAGGGGTTTGTGACTCTTGTAATAACTCTCCTTTGTGTAAAATACATAGGAAACGAGGCACGAAAGGGGATTGCTCTTCATAACAACAGCTGTATTCCGTGGCCAAGTTATTTCTCATCTCAAGAATGTATCAATTGGATTGAAAGTCATTTTTTCCTCTGGTTGCTTGCAAGTAGTATCGATTAGCGAACTTCCTAGAGTCCATTGTAGTGGAACATCTATGACAATGGGATGTATGCTGCTGCTTGGGTGGTGCAGCCTTCCAGATAGGGTGAGTCCTGATTTGCATCCATGCAAGAACAGCAGTTCTTTTGCATGTAAATTGGCTCGTATTGTCCTGGAAAGACTTCATAATAATGTTCTTTTCTTTGTCCCATCCTAATGACATGAGAATGTCCCTGGTAGGTTGTACTTTTTATGTCAACAAGGTTTCAAATTGATCAGTAACTCCCTGTAGAGGCGTTTTACGTTGTGTCAGTCACCTCCTTGAAAATTCTGGAACAATTAGGATAACCCCATTGAAATTGTTCCGGAGAATTGGCATATTCCTCATGTTGCGAGATGAAAGTAGCATATACTCACCTGCATGAGATAGACACAACTTTTTGCTCCATGTTGGACGCTTCCATATAGCATGTAACGTGTCAAAAACAAGCAAACAATTTATGCAGTTCTAACAGCAAGGTATAACACTTCCATTTCCATCAAATTCAACAGAAAAGCTTTTTAAGGGGTTGTATTCTACGGTGAAGAAACTCTCCTAACTCAGATTCTTGATATGGAATTCAGTCTTCTCATTTTTCTTCGATGGTTAAAACAAGCATCAAGTAAATCAGCGGTCCAAAATGCCACTTAATAATACCTGCAGGTCTGCTAAAAAACTTGGTGACCAATTAAGATGTTCAAAAAAACACCACATACATTGATAACGAAAAATGCCACTAATCTTGTAATTCAGGAGACATCATTTGCCGGGGTGAGGGACTGGGAGCCCCTTGGTCTGCATTTGTTTATACATCCATTGCCAGTTTTCTGGAGTCACCTCACCCCCAAGAGAGCGAATGACAGATCCACCACTGCATGAGCCCACTCCACAGCATTCCTCCAGTGGAAGCCCCTTGATCAGTCCGTAGAAAAACCCACTTGCAAAGAGGTCCCCAGCTCCGGTGGCATCTGTTGCATTTGCCTCCCCAATCGCGGGAACACGGACAACCTGCAAACCACCCAAATTAACACCCAACTATAACACTAGTGGCCATCGCAAAGTAGCTGGCTCCCGATGATAGCATACTATAATAAACAAGGGACAACCTATCAATTTTGAGGTATTTGACAAAACAAACATATTTGTGTTGCATTAAAAAGAGATCAACTTGTAAACGTACACCACATGGGCTTATGTTTGAGCAGATATATTTAACTACAACAAAGACGCAATGGTTGGCAATGGCATGACGCCAGACCAAAAATTCCAGTTACAAGGGGCACTAGTTTGTATTTGTTGCAGACTGGTCACATCTCTTGGGGAAAACTAACATAAGGGAAATGATGGTCTTGGGGATTAGTGAGTCAAAAGCCCCCGCGGAATGAAGGGTTAGGAACACCTGGCATAACCCAGAAATATATAACAGAATAAACACAGTGCTTGCATCTTTCACTCACATACCTCGTTTCCATGTTTTGCAATGCATCCATTAGTGCCTAACGTCACCACAGCCCATTCACAGTGCTTGGCCAAAAATTCAAGCGCGGCCTCAGGACCAGAAGTTACTTCGTCCCTACATTTTTAACAAGAGAATTCATAGATCATCTACCAGAAACTTCAAAAATACTGTGAGCTGAAATTATATATAATTTCACAAGAATCACAACAGGAAACTATATACTCATACAAACAGCGCTAGCATTATATCCGAGGATTCCAGTTGGCAGTCACCTTACAAGCTCTGCTGCTTCATCCTCATTGGCAAAGCAAAGGTCTATGTTCCCCGACTCCAATAACTGTAGCAGAGGTAGTCTAAACTTCCTAACCATCTGACCAGAGAGAACAAATACCAAATAACAGATCAACACTATAGTTTTTGGTATGGATAGCACAAAGGCAGTGATCGGATCATATGAAGCATAATGGAACACTGTTGAAATATTACCTCAAAACTAGCCAAGTCAAGGGAAATGAGAACACCCTCTAGTTTGGCCAATAGAATAGCCGCACGAATAATTTCTAAATTGGATATTGCATATCTCAGCACCAGCCACTGTGACATAAGATGTATATAAAAAAAAAGCACATAATTCTAGAGGCCACTATCTTTCAAAAGCTGCAGTCCAACACTAAAACCAGAAGAAACAAGTACAGAGTGAATTATACAACCTTCATGCTTATGAGTGGAGTAACTGACATCAGTAAGAGACTCAAATTTAATCTAATTAGTTTACAAGTACATTAACTTGCCATATTGAAATGAAGAAAAATCAGAATATGGAGGAAACAAAGGAAGAGATACAAAGACTGAGTCTGCGACAAGCAGACAAGGGTCAAAACTACCATCCAAGTGCGAGATGCCTTACCCTGGCTCCCTTAAAATCCTCTCTTGTTAATTCATCAGCCTGAAAAAGGACAACATAATAACAATCATGTAAGCTCATAGTGATCCACAACCTGGGGAATCCTCAAGAATCACGAAATACTCACATCTTGTTCCTATCGTAGACTAGATATATATAGCATGAACCTGAATTTTTGCAGCACTAGAGAGACAGGGTCGCATTGTACGATTGCCCAACTCGTCAACTAGGCAAACACACTGCAATTCCATTAATAGACAAGGATTCAGCACTTATCATCCAAAAGGCTGATAACATTAATAAAACAATTTGTCCACATCGATAGGGGTAGTAGCATGAAGCTTGCCTGAGCAGTGGATTCAGTCTTCATCCTCAATCTTGAGAGATCCACTCCATAAAAGCTCATGTTACTTACGAACAACTTGCCTTGTTCATCATCTCCACAGGCACCAAGTATTCCACAAGAGATCCCAAAGCCAGCAGCTAATCCTCTAACAGTATTGGCCACACTGCCCCCAGCTATAGTCTTCATAGAAGATGGATCATTGGGTAAGGAGAGGATGTGGGTATTGACCTCACTCAATATATGCTTAAGCTCTTCATTTGCAACCTACTCCGGATCCAAAAGAAAATTATATTTCCATTGCACATGACCGCTTAACAATATCCACAAGAGAAAAGATGATGCAAACAATCAAGAAGATAAAATAAACTGTTTGATAATATCAGATAAACCATCATTAGTGCCAAAAAATGTGCACGCAATAGCACCAAAAGTAGAAAAATATAACTCAGTGGACTAAAAAGAAGACACTGTAACATTCAATCTGAAGGTTGAAATAATAACTCAGGAGAGAGGGAGAGCTAAATTTAAAGAGAGAAGGAGAAAACAAGTGCCAATAAATCAACAACTAATGAAAAATACCAGAGAAGGCAACTAACAAAGAAGACATACAAGGCATCCCAAATTATTAATTTTTTTATTTTTTATTTCCCTCTTAAGACTCGATGTCCAGTGCCATAATACATCCTCTCAGAAACAAAATTGAATATTGGGGTCAGCTCCCTTATCCAGGGCCCCAGAAATATTAGAACTCTACAAGTAATAAGATAATTTAACTATTAACACTAGAATTGGAATTGACATAGTTGCATGGTGTTGGGTAGGGGTGTCAAACGTGTCGGGTTAAACGGATAAGTGTCGGATTACACGGGTGATGGGTGAAAAACATATAAACCTGTACACGACAGGTTTAATAAACGGGTAAAAAATTTCAACACGAACCGTTTAATAAACGAATAACACGACACGACTCGTTTAACCCGTTTAATTTTATTAAAATTTTAACTCATACCAAAAAATTATTCTACTAAAATTTTAAACTCCATTAATTATCCATAACAATTGTACTCTCTTAATTAAAAAATTTTCAGTTGACTGCCACTTGCAAAAGTAAATGAGAAGGTTGAATGTCTAAAGAAAGGAGTTGCAACATTTTATAGGCATGGGAGATCTCCTTGATTTAAATATACCAATGTGGGATTCAGGTCAAGCCAAAAGATTTCACGTGCGGACTCACAAGAAGCTTCATTGAAATATTCAAATGCCTTTTCACTGTGCAGATATTCAAATGCTTTTTCACAGTTTTTTTTTTGTTTGAATTAAGATTTTTCTTTATTCATTTACCATATATTTTTATATAATATTTTAATTTTGATTAATTTATTTTAAATGATTATTAATTTATTATTATATTAATTTTTTAAAACGGATAAATGGATGATAAACGGATTGACAGGTCTCACCAAAACATGACCCGTTTATTAAACATGTTTAACAGGTACCACCCGAAGTCGATAAAGTTTCATCCAAACCACCTTAATTCATGTCGGTTAATCGTGTCGTGTTGGACTTTGACGGGCCAAGGGTTGGGACCAAGTGTAGTCATTGAAATTCCTGATTCCATAGCCATACCTCTCTCTAAACATTGTGGAAATGCAAAACCCAATAACATGAGAAGCACTCCAGACGCATCATTATCAAACAAACCTTTAACAACATGCTCTGAACCCTAACGAGGCATACTAACAAGATCTACTGATAAAATTGATTCTAGCCGTTATTACACAAATTTGCAGTCTCTACCCATTTAAAGCTTTCATAAAACAAACATAATACCAATGGGAGTTTAGGCGCTTCCCACTTTGGCAATTTCCTTCTCCATTACAGCATATGGATCTCAGCCAAAAACAATTTACTTCAGTGACAACAACCCCCAGTTGTGCGTGTGTGCAGAGACAATTCCTGCCGGTTCTTGATGTTTTGACATACATAAAAGGCAGAAATAAATTGCTTTTGACAAACACTCACATAGTGTATGAATTTGGGTATACACGCATAATTATGGGCATTTAACACTAGATCAAAATCCAGAAATCAAACAGAGTAACGACTTAACATAAATCCAACGAACTAATGTCTACATCTATCTCTGTGCACGAAAACAATATCATACAGACAAAGACGAATGAGAGAGAGAGAAAGTACCGGGAAGGAGCCGCCACGCTCGCCGGGAATCTGAGAGAGGAGTGACCAATCGACCTTGGCCACATGGTCGACGAGGGCAGATGGTTGGAGTCCGAGGATTAGAGGACCACCACTCTCACAGCGCGGCCCTTGTGCTTCCTTCGTCGTGTTGCCGTTGTTCTGGGGATGAAACTCCACACCCATTTTAGTGCCTCTCGTCCCAAAGGTTCAGAAGCTTCCCCTCCCTCCTTGAACACCTTTGCCCCCTCGCCTCCGCCTCCTCTGTGTTCTCTGTGTTTTTATATATAGACATTAGGCAAGCAGCCATCACTCAGCAGGACATAAACCAGGTTCTACCGACCCACCTTTTTTTATTTTTATTTTTTACTTTTTAACTAACACGATTTTATCTTAATTATCTGGGATGTTAATTTTATTCCAAAATTATTTACAAGGTAAAAAATATTGGCAATAAATACAAGCAGTAAATATAGATCCCTCGTGACTATTTTAATTCTAAATATAAATAATCTACCTTTAATCGCATTGAAGAAAAAATTAATTAAAATATAAATAAATTAATTTAAACACCTTTGATGATTACATTAAAAAATGAATAGATAAAGAAATATGTACTCTAAAGCCCAATAAAAGACATGTAGTTTAGCTAAGGGTGATTTATTTCCAAAGTATTCTACTTTGGATTTTCAACCATTTACACAGTTATGAAAGAAGATTCTTTGGGTGTCAGAGTATCTTTAACAATATTAACTATTTTAGTTATCTAAAAAATATATTTTTTTTATTTTAGTTACTCATTTTTTCGATACACACTCCAACAGATTCTCTATATTTTTAATTATTTATTTTAAATAATATTTATCATCCCTTTTATATTATATTTTTTAGGAACAGTGAAACGGAGAAAGAGAGAGAATGGAAGAAATTAGAGGAATAGAGAGAAAATAATATATATTATATTTACATATTGCTACAGTGATGTTCTATATTTAGAACATTATTGTAGCAAAAATCTATTTTTACGACATATGAACATAATCTGTTGAAGATGCTCTAAATGTTTGAGCATATGTTTATTTAACAAAAAACACCAGATTAAATATAATTTTTTTCAAATAACTAGAAAAATCATTTACTAAAAACACTTATGGCCGTTTGGAAATCAAAGGGTAAACTTGGCATGATTAAAGATTAAGATAAAGGTAGAATTAAATATGGGTAAATTCCATTTTACGATATAAAAAATTTTAGTTTATTCCTAAAATGATTAATTTTTTCACATTTTTCCTCAAAGAAGTAAAAATGTTCCATCGTGATTCATTATTTTATTTTTGTTTGATTATCTGTTTATTTTGTGATTTTTAATTGATTGATTTGACATAAAATAGACGATGACTAAACGAAAGAAAGATGGTGGACTATATTACAATATTTTTATCTTTTTGAGGGAATAATATAAAAAAATTAATCATTTAAGAGATAAACTAAATTTTTTCAAAAATGGAATCTTTCCATTAAATTACCGCTCTTTAACGAAGTTGATGCTTTTATGTAATCATATGCATTAGAAATAGACAAGGTCTTAACAAAACCAAGCAACACATGGACCCAATTTTTTATTTTTAAAAAATAATTCATTTTTCAATGAAAATATTTGCATCTTAGGTTTAATTTCATATTAAAAGATGCTTGGACCACTTGATTTTTTTTTTACGTAGGATATTACCTCACTGTGGTGTTAATTTATAATTCAATTGAGCATTGTGAAAAAGACCTGACGACTTGCGAAGAGTCTTTTTCCTTGGCTTTCTTCAATGAGCATGCGTTGATGGGAACTTAGATTCATAATCAATTCAATAAAAAAACAAATTTATTCCCTTTTTCGTGCAGAAATGCACAACCACTTGTTAATTTATTTATTCCTTTTTTACTTTCATAGCAAAATGGACGGATTCGTTTTGGCGTGGAAGGTCTAATTTTGATCGGATTGAAAGAGGGTTTAGTCAAGATATGTATAAGTTGGTCTGAACACCCAAACTATCAGAAAAAAAAAAGAAAAAAGAAAGAGGTGACACTTGTATCCTTCCATCATATGCTTCAAAGGTGTTCGATCTTTTGCCTATATGAATCTATGTGGACAAAAAAATCTTTTGAGTTTTCCAAGCCAATAATATATGATCAAGTTCACTATTCCTCCACCGAAGTTTGTTACCATAGTATAGATCCAAGGATACTAAATGGTAACAATGACAATCCAAAAAAAGTGAAATAAGTAAGTTTTAAAACGGCTAGTTTCAGTGCTCGAATAAAAACTAAGATATAAACTCACATATTTTAAACTCAAGTATCATTGATTGTATTAATTCTGAATTTAACCGATGCATATAGCCGGAGTGTGGAGGATTATTACAAGGAGATGGAGATTGCTATGATCCGAGCTAATGTAGAGGAAGATCGAGAGGCTACCATGACTAGATTCTTACTTGGATTAAACCGAAAAATCCAAAATAAGGTGAAGATGCAGCATTACGTGGAGTTGAAGATATGATGCACGTGGCTATCAAAGTGGAGCAACAACCCAAGAGGGGGGGGGGGATTTGCATCATTGAAGATGATTCAATTTGATAAAATAAATGAAAGAAGTATAATTGGAGGAAGAATCCAAGAAAGCCAAACAAATGGAAGATAAATGGATGACTTGGAGGATGGAATGATTGGAGAGGACGACCCTTTTTGTCTGCCTTGACTTGAAACCAGCTGAAATTGCGGTATAGTTCATCTTTCGGCTATATAATATTTCAACACCCAGTCATCATCGGCTTTTTAAGATTCCCGTGAGCCAATACAAAAAAAAGAAGTCCAACCACTGAAAATTAAATACTATTGATTCTAACATGCCAAGGTCTAGTGTTGATAATATTGGCACATGGGCTAGCTCCTAGTCCTACTAGGTTGGAATCAATTGCCTAGAAGTTGAAAGCTACCTACTTGCTTTCGTGTGGAGTAACTATTACAATCTAGTGGATAGAAATTTATTGCATTTTTTATCAACAAATCTTTTAGTTTAGATGGATCGAAATATTATGTGTTGAAAAAAAAATGCTATGCAAACTGCATCGATGTCACAGACCAAAGGCTGGGAACATCGGTTTTTTTTTTTTTTGAATGTGGGACCAACACTATACACCTATGGAGGTGAGTCGTCGGTCAGTCCTAGAAATGGCAGCAGCAACGCGAGGAGTTAGCAACCGAATATGTTGCAACTTGGGAATCACCAAACAACTCTTTCGCTTCACAGGGATCAGGGAGGAATGTGCGGTTTTCAAGCCATTCCCGAACCAGTAGGATTAGTGTGTGAGATCCACAAACTGACACATTTGACTGTATAAACTCTTGGTTCCTAAAGTCGTGACTAGTGCACAAAAGCTAGGTCAGTCAAACTCGCACTTTCATAAATTAACCTAGAGATGAAGAAAATAAATAGACATGAATTGTCACATTCAAAACATATAGTTACAAGTGAACCCAAGATAGCTTTTGTATCAGAAGTAAGAACATGAATACCTGTCTGCTCGCATTCAATCAAGCATGCCTGCATAAATTGGCCTAAGTTTGAATGACATATTTGAACATGTCAGCAAATTGATAGTTCTTTATGAGAGATCCAAACAATTCGTTCTTGGTCACGTATGGTTGCTTTCAGATAATTTTTTAAGATATTTACAAGTATCAACTCTTCTTATTACCCCGCTATAGCCATTAAAAAGTACAATTCAGCAAATTCATTTGGGAAATCAGTCTCTCTAGCATAAGGAAGGCAAATCATCAGTTGCTTTTATACAGGAAACTGGAGTATCTGGAAAATAAAGTGGAAAGGACGAAGCCCAACATCTATCATGATTCATTGATCTTACCCTAAACCCAATCTGGTATACAAATATGAACGAAATCATACATTTAACTTCGTAAGAAAAGAACGAGACAAAAAATAATCTCATATCAACACGCACGTGATTAGAATTAATAGAGAGCTAAACTAGCTATTCATATCTCCAAAATGCAACAACCATCCATAATCGTTGTTTCCTAAGTTTCACATTATTAATTCACATTTTCATGAAAAAAATAGAACCAACGAGAAATATTGTCTGAGACAACAACTTACAACCTTATAATTAAAAGTATTGAAATCTTCATCGATGATATGTCCAACCTACATTAATAAGTCAATATTTTCTTAATTATGTAAATTGAATATTGACTTACTAACACATAACGACACTCTAAACAGGTTGCAAATGCTTGACTTTTGTGAAATTTACCTACCACTTTGGCTTCAAGTACAAAATACCATTATAATATGAAGGTAGATGCAGAGGGGCTGTAAGATGATGCGAAGCTTTAGTTGCTCAAGTCTTCTAACAAGACCCATAAGCTACAAAGATGGCCATGACATGACCAACTTGGATTGGAACGTTTTGTTTGGCAAAAGTAGGTAATGTACCAATTAAAATAATGTTCCTTAAGAAGTATGAACATCCTATTATGGTTGGATTCACAGTGGTGCTACCCAATTACAAATGATCAATACATAAGTCTGGTAATATGAATTGTAATATCAGACAACTTCCTGTTCAATTTGGTTCGAAGAGGTGCTGGAAGCTTTTTCTGTAATTTTTCAGTTACATTGCTGATTGGGAGATTTTGCCTTATAGTGTTTTGATACAGAATGCTGCTGCTCAATCACAAACGATCAACATTCATGCAAGGCTCAACTGAAAAAGGCAAACAAACGAGCGCAGTGCGTCAATCACATCAATTGAGTCCTTACAACAGCATATAATACTCAGCAATGGAAAGGTACCGTAAAATAACCCTCTCTAATAGATGAAAAATAAGAGCGATAAAAAGTAAGAAAGATACACTTTTTACTCAGTAAGAAAAATAAAAATGATACACTTTTTTTCTTTGTGTTTAGTAGGATGGATAGAAAATAAAAATGATTAATTTTGTTTTGTGATTGTTAAGATTAAGAGTGATAATTGAGTCGTGTCGTGTCAGATTAGTGTTAAGCATTGCGGGTTCGTGTTAAACATTAGTCAAACATAATTCAACTTATTTAACTAATTGTGTCGTGTTGAGTTGACATGTTTATTTTCGTGATACGCTCATGTTCGTGTTTGTACTTATATTCGTATTCGTATTGACCTATATAAATTTTGAATAAAAATTTAACGCTAATATTTTATTTTTACTTAATTGAATTCATACTCATATTTTTTCTATAAACTAAAAATTAATTTAAATAAATATAATAATAATAATAATTAAAAATACCTTTTTTATATAATAATTATGTCGGTGTTTAATAAATAGTTACAAATAATTAACATTTTATGTCTATATTGCTAGTTTAACATATTAATTTCATATTATTTTAGAAACGAGAAAATAGAGAAAAATATTTATACTTAAATAAACGGATTAATGGTGTCATTTTTGAATGGGTTAATCTCATTTTGCACCCTAAAAGATTGTTCAAATCTCAATTTGCACCTCCAAAAATCAAAAATTTTAATTTGCACCCTCAAAGATAGAAATTTGTATCAATGTGCACCTAAAATTAAATTGATAAATTATACCTAGATCCCCTCATGTTTGTCACTTAATCATTTGAACTCCTTCACATTTAGAATATTCTCATTACATCTCATGACATTTGTACATGTGTAATACATAATCACTTTTCGTTGATATCTGTTAATATAATCGTTAAAAAATATGATTTTATCCTAATAAAAAATTATAATTTCATATTACCTTTTATTTTGTGGATTCGACATACTCTAAAGTTGAAAATCAAACTTATCATTTGAATGTCTAATAAAATGTAGATATTTATATAAAAGGTAATATGAAAAACATTATATAAATATTTACATTTTATTAGATATTCAAATGGTAAACTAGATTTTGAACTTTAGAATATATTGAACCTATAAAATAAAGGGTAATATGAAACTATAATTTTTTATTATGATAAAATTATATTTTTTAACGGTTATATTAATAGATATCAATGAAAATGAGTTACGTGTTATACGTGCACAAATGTCATAAGATGTAAGAGTAATATTCTAAATGTGAAGAGGTTTAAATGATTAAGTGACAAGTATGAGGGGGTCTAGGTATAATTTATCAATTTAGTTTTAGGTGTACATTAATACAAATTTCTATCTTTGAGGGTATAAATTGAGATTTTTTATCTTTGGGGTGCACATTGATATAAATTTCTATCTTTGAAGGTAAAAATTGAGATTTTTTATTTTTGGGGGTGCACATTGATACAAATTTCTATCTTTGAGGGTGTAAATTAAAATTTTTAATCTTTAAGAATATAAATTAAAATTCAAATAATCTTTCGAAGTACAAAATGTGATTCACCCTTTTGAATTTATCGCATAGAACTCAATATGGGCCGCGTTTTCCTCTGTCCACGTTCTCAAGTTTTGCACCACGGAAGGGCAAATTTGGTAATGAAGTCGTACTAAATTGCCATATCTGTTCGGTTCATTTATGAAAAGGGCACTGATTTTTGTGAAAATTAACGACCCATTGACCATACGACTATGTTATTTTTTTTGCGTGTGTGGGTTCCAAGTAAGGAAATATTATGTATTTCAAATTTATAACTCAAATTTATATTTTAAATGAAGGAATCGTTAAATAAGTGAGTTTTATCAATTTTTTTAAATGAGACTCACTGACCTAATGATTCTCTTTTATTTGAAATACAAACTTTGGTTATAGATTTAAGTTATATAGCATTGTTTTTCAGTATATGTTATTCCAAATAGATGTCGATTGCAATAGTGACAACATATCTATAATTTGGATGGATTAATTCCAATTCAAATCATAAACATTTAGTACTTTACTGAAGTTTCACTTCTTGGGTTGTCTGTAGAAAAAAAATTCTCAACTTGATTTAAATTTAAGTAATGCTCAAATTTTGAATTTCGACGTTTCGGGATCTTATCTGATTCAGTTTCGGCTAGTGTTGAACCTTGTTCTATCCCAAATTTTGGAAACTAAAAGAAACAGGAAGCTCCAAAGAAGATGCTAGAGATAGATGTTTTCGTCATACTACAATTTTCATCTCATGTTATGGATAGGTTTGATAACTCTTGGCATGATCTGCGACTTTGACGCGGAATTGATATGTAATTAGCGGATTTAAATTTAACTTTTAATGGGTTCAAATGATAAAAGGATGGATCAATTAAAAGAAAGAAGTCAACATAAACCCTGTTAGACACAATTTAAGTATAAGTTATAGACAATACGAACTCAACATAGCACAAAATTGATTATACACAATTATAAGTATGGACAAATTTTTGACACGATAAGAGACACAGCATAAATGTGACACGAGACGATCCATTCACAGCCCAGCATAAATGTGACACGAGACAATCCATTCACAGCCCTAGGTCCAATTTTTGGCCAAAAATTATAGTTTTAGAAAGCAAATTCCCAAACTCACTCTTTCAAAACTATAACTCTTTCTGTTTTATTTTTTTTTTCCTGCAAGATCACCACTGTTATTCAATTTAATTAGATGATTTCAAGTTGGATCCGAAGATGACTATAGGTTTGAGTGTTCTACGGATTACTCTAACCTGGTTTTTAGCAGACCTTGACTAAGATAAGAGAGATGCCAAGGTAAAAAATCTAATCATTATATTCGATTGGTATAACAACTTCCAACTACTGAACAGCAAAATAATAAGCTAGTTGTCAAATATCTGACTTTGCTCACACATACAAGTCATATACTTTTGTATCAAGTTGAGTGGAAGTTTGAAATTTTATAACACCATTGTGATTGTGTGATGGTTTCTGAAACATGGCCAGCTAGTTAAGTTGTTGTAGGTCTTCTCCTGCCATTATAATTGATCCATAGAAGCCCCTCAAACATCTCAATGCATCTACCATAATTCCCCAAACAAAATGAGTGGGAGAACCATTGTTTTGATATTATTCTTCTGGGCTGTCCTCACAATAATCACCCCTGTGCTAATTCGCATGTCGGCCAAACCATACTCAGATTCTAATGGTATGAGATACCAAAAGTTATTGGACATCCATCCTTTCACTTAGGTTTTCTTTTGCCATATAGTATTCTTATACTAAGTCCTTTCACAATATCATTCTAATCTAAGGATATTGGAACTTTAGCTTCTGCAGGTGATAGAAAAGAAGAAATGAAGGTTAGGAGAGTAATGAAGTTAGTTCCCAAAAGAGCACTGGTACCTACAAAACAGAGAAAGGCACGGATTCCGCCACCAGCCCCAGCCCCAGCCCCGGCACTAGAACCAGATTCAGGGATTAAAAAACTTATGCAATTGTGAAACTGTGTGGATCAAGTTGTGTGAAAGCTAGCTTGTCATGAGTGCACGAGACTGCAACAAGACTCCAAGAGTGCATTTTGCTCAAGATGTGTGATCAAGCTCATTGGATTTCCTCTCCCTCAGCTTATGTGCTCAGCCGTGATTGTAAATATGCCACTAGGAGAAATAAAAAGGAATGCATTTTTTGTGAGAGGAGCCGAAGGGTCTCTTTTTTATGTTGCAATAACTGGTAAGGAAAGAGTAACAACTGAGGTGAAGGAGGCGCAAAGAGTCAATTATAGGGAACTTTTGCTGTCGTAAATGTATGTGAATTCTGATGTTCAAGGGGGCTTGGAATCTTGGATACTTCATGTCTTCTGATATTTAGACCTGCAAGAGAATTCACACTGTTATTGAATGGATAGTACATCATGTCCGTCAATTTGTTTTGTTCTGCCTTTGTATATCTCCCATGCAGATTTCTTTGGCCCCAACTGTGAAGGATCACGGTTAATTTGTTCGTCTTGACGTCCTCAAAGGCCTCTCTCTCTCTCTCTCTCTCTCTCCATGTTCCAGGAAGGATCAAAATCTTACCCAATGACCATTTTCTGTTCCAAACTGATAGGAGTTAGATTCATGCCATGTGCTTGGTGATGGCAGTTTCTCTGTGAGACAAAAACCAGGACATTTTAATTTTTTGCCCGGTACAGTAATTCTTGTCCAAGGGCCATGCTAATCATTCACGAACCATTCCAATTTCTCTGCTGTTCTCAACATAATACCGTGGATAAGTAGTAGTTAGAAGATATCAGCTGTACATCAAGCCAAACAAAACAGGCAATCTCACTGCCAGATCAATTTGCGATTTGTCTTACGATTGATCAGATAAAGAATATAATTGACAGTGCAACACACCACGCCTATAAAGTACACAAGAGATTGGTATACTCGATGGCTGTGATTGTTCCTGAAACAACTATCAGAAGTTGCAAATTTTTTATGTTCATTTACACACTGCATATTTACCTTGTTTCTCAATGGATTAACCAATTTGGCCAACAGAGTTCAAAGCTTCAATTAGTTCTCTTTCAGAAACAATATCATATCACCACTTCCCATCAGCTAAATGGTAATTCACAACCCAGAATCCAACTCAGCCAGTTTAGCATCAAATTTTTACATTACTCTCTAGGAAGATTATACAGGCAACATACCAAAGCACACTACTTACATACATTGAAAGTTCATGACTTGTCTTTCAGTGCTAGGTTGGTCCTTGCACCAAGTAGAATCGATACATAATTAGTGAGTTCGAGTTCAATTTTAATTGACTCAAGTAATAGACGAGTAGATCTGCCAAACCCACGATGTGAATAAATACAACACGCAAAACATGACACAAAACTGACATAACAGGAATCCGACTATACACAACTATACATGGACAAGCTCTAGTACTGCTAGTCCCCTAGCGAATAACAAAAGTCATATGAAACATAAACAGAGATTAAGAGCTCTCAGATCATCATGCACTAATTCCAGTTTGACCATGCGGCTTCGAAGCAGCCATGCTAGCTACATGGAACTGCGCTGCATACTTGTAGGTAGGACCCTCTGATTCAATCACAGGAGGTTCATTTAAAAACGCCGAGTTGCTGCTAATCCACCTGCAAATCAACAAATGGATCTTGATTATACTAAAATCTAGAATCCTAAACCCAATGAGATTAAAAGAGTGACTGCATCAAGTCCAAGCTTAATTACCAGCCATTTTTCAATATTAGTTTCTCCAGACTTGATTCACTTTCTGTGTCCAAAAACTTTGTATTGGCTTCAGGCAGAGAGCTTGATCTCTGAAGTCTTTTTTCAGTCTCCTTCAATGCACTTACCTGTCATAACAAATTAAAATTCTTTAATCTGACTTCATATTACATTTAGTTGCAAATCCAAATAATACATTATTGTTGAGCCAATTATAATACCAACAGGATACGTGGTATTATAGTTCAGTTTAAGTGTTTTAAATAATAAATATATAATTAATACTCTATTATCCTATTTTTAATCCAATCTCTTACCTGGATTGCAATACAGAGTATTTTGTTTTATATTTAATTTTATATTTTATCCACTTATACCGAATTAGTTACCTACTACAATTCATTCCTTTACGATACCGTAATCAAACGACCGGAAAGATAAACAAGCCCGGGTCCCATGATGTGGATAATTATGTAATTTTCAAATCTACAACAAAGTTATGACTTACAAGTGCAAAATTGATACGTGATCGGAACGATTCTTAGTTGTTTTAAAAAAAAAAAACACACCCATCATGAGAAGAAAAAGGTAATAGATCGGTATAAAACGTATTGGGGAGATTAGCTAGGCTTGACCTGACTTGTAGATGACAGATCAGAAATAGCTTTGAGATGCTCCTCCTCTATTTGCTTCTTCTTTCTCCAGTAAGTTTCAATCCCCTCTTTAGTCAAGGACTGATTCCTCTTGAGTTTCACTAAAATCAGAGATTTGGAAAAGATGTTCACTTAGATTTCAGATACTACTTATACAAATACGCGCGAACACACACACACACACAAATATATGGAGATCCTATGATAGTAAAAAGAACTGCAAGAGTTAGTAAGATTACCAGCTTTAGGATCAGGGACATGTGAGTCCCAACCTGCCATCAGAGAACCCATTTGGTCGCTAGAACACTTTCAAATGATTCAACCAAAAACACACAGAACTGTGTATGAAATCCTGCAAACTATTAAGCTATAGCTGATCTTTTTAATAAAGTTGAAGGTAATCGTGGTGGTGGGGTCCTCAGCTATCTTGATCTTATCTCCAATTAATTATGCTTTAGTCGTGTAGATGATAGGGATAACGATGGACTTTTGATAGTGCTGCTGGTTTTGTATGGGTCCATGGGCACGGCTAAGTTCCATTAACTAGTCTGCCTTAATATTCTGGCAGCCCACAGGTTTTCACGCAAGGTGACAAGGTAAAGGAGAGAGAGATCAATTAACAGAGAGTACCTATGATGCATACATATCCGATATGTGTCTAAAAGGTGTCGTTGCCATGCGGAATTTAATTTCAGAAATTATCATTTGAATTTTTAATTTGATTTCAAAATTTAATCAATGTAATATTATTGAAAACTGAATAAATAACGATGACAGAACTGTAAATTTATACATTATAAATTTTAATTTTAACAATATCTTAAGGTATCTCTACGAGAGATTTATATATTTATTATGAATATCTTAATCTCGATATGAATAGTTTATTTTTGACCGAATTAAAGAGGCAATTAATTGAGGTATGAATAAATTAATCTAAACACCCTTATCCTTGAACAAATTTTTTTTTAACAAAGCATGGAGTCTTATAATAGGTGATTTTGATAAAGCTGTAAGGGAGAAAATATTGGACGTGATGATGACATTATGTCATTATCTAATAAGAGCATAATAAATAAATAAATTCTATATATTATAGTAATCATCTCTTTACATCATTTTGATAAACATGCAATGTCTAAATTAACTACTAAATAGGGTTCATCTTATTTTATTATGAAATAAATATATACATAACATATGTATATATCAAAAGATATATCTATATAATAAAGTACAATACAATTTAAATTTTAAAAAATAAACAAAATGACTTTTATTTTTCACGGTTCAAATTATTTTAAATTTTACTTTAAAGTTAATCTAATGACTAATATTAACACCTCAAATTTAATAGAAAAAATAGGACCCTAATGGTATGTTTGAGATAACTTTTTAAAAACACTTATAGGATTTACAACTTTTTATAAATATTTAAAAAAAAATATAATATTTGGAATCGCTCCACCACCACTCCCACCCCACCCACCAACCCCACCCCCCATCACCACTATTGCCACCCTACCAGTGCTACCACACCCACTTCACCACCACCACCCCATCCTCACTGTCCCATCACTACCATCACCAACCACCACTGGTTGCTATCATCATCGTTCAGTGCCACCACCGACCACCAATTACTATCATTATGTTATTCTTATATATATTTATTATCATTACCATCATCATCCCATTATCATCGCTCATTGTCAACACCCACCATTACAATTGTTGTCCATCATCATCCACTACCACAATCCACCACCACCTCGTCGTCCCCCACCATCGCCACTAACTACTATCACCCACCCTCACCACACTTATTACCACCACCCTGTCATCGCCCACCACTGCAGCCACTTACCCTCTACTACACTTACCACCGTCGTCATTCACCACCATTAATCACACTGTTATCTAGAAGCATCTATCGTCACCCGCCACCACCATCATCACCACCCCACCACCACTATTGTCGTCCCACCACCCCCGCCATCACTCATAACTGTCACTACTATCATCGTCACCCATAAATCACCACCACCATCATTGTTGTCACCCACAATTGTCACTACCACAGCAACTGTCACCACTCACTGCAACTATCACCGTCTTTCACCATCAACACTGTCGCCCACCATCACTAACATCGTTTACCCCAATTACAATTGATACTTAAATTTCTTTATCTCTTTTTTATGTTTATGATTTGATTTTAGATGTGCATACAAATATGTTTATTGTTAATCTTTTTTTATTATTCCGTGCCTTTAAGCACTAAAAATAATTCATAAACAAATAAGATATATATCGAAACAAATAATTAACTTTTTATCTATTTTTTCTTCCGATTTTAGAGAAATTAATTTTGACGAGTTAAAAAAAAAGTTAATTCATCTACTTTTTTATCTTTCTTATTTTTTATCCTTATCAAACATTATATTTTATTTATCCATCTAACTTTTAATCATTTTATTTTTTGAAGGATATCCATCGGAGAATAAAAGCCTCTTTCGTTTACTCCGATACATTGGAATCAGCTGATAACATTCTTATATATTCTTATTCTTCGGCGACTTCGACTTTGTTGATCTCATATTATATTTGTTTTGTGTCTGGGACACACCGAAACGTGAACGGTTTTGGTTTTACATAGCGCTTAAGATCTGAAATCTTTGGAGGGTTTCGGCTGATTCATCAAAGTTTCGAACGACTGACTGGTACGTGAATTTTTCTGCAGTTTAAGCATTCTCAGCGATTTGAATCTTTTGTTACAAAAAAAATAGGAGAAAGTTACAAAAAAATTAAGGAGAGGAATTTGAATCTTTTGTTACATTCCATTTGGTTTCCAAATATGGAAACTCTTGTATTAAACCAGTTTCAGAGTATCTAGTTCCTTTTGTTTTTTAGCATTTTCTCAGCAACCAAAGAAAGTTTCTGAAATTTATTTTTTGATTTATTGGCTGCAGTTAGGCGGGTTTGGACTTCGGAATAAGACGGAACTGAACTTTTGAATCTTTTGCTTGAAGGAACTGATAGAAGAGTGGTAAACATTATGCTGTGAGCTGGTGATTTATTTTTGCACTAAAAGCGTAGAATCATGGACACGTTCGATTGCTTGCATTCAATAATTTTTAATTTGCTAATTGACAAACTGTTTTTATTTCTTCTTTTTGTGGGTTAGGGAACACAAAGTATTGTAAATCAAGCGTTTCGTTTACGTTTCGGGCATTTCAAAAACCTGATTTTGTTGACCAAAATCTCAAACAACTGGCTGATCTTCAGATAATATAGCGAAAAAAGCTCAATTTGTTTTCATTTTCTGCCATATTGGATGGATTGGGAGCTTGGAACTTTATAATTAAATTAGCCAAGTATATGGATTCATCTCAACCTAAATTTTTGTTAGATTCTTCAGGTGGATAAGGTTGAGTAGACAAGGATTTATTACATAGCAATGCCATTTAAACGTATAATAGACGAGGTTAGGGGGATCCGAGAGAATATTGAGGACAAATCTAGAAGGCAAGATGAGACGAAGTGTGTGCTTGGTCGTGGAAGGTCACATACTGCACCTGAAAGGTCACCATCTCCACGGGCATTGTTTCAACAGAGGCGGTGGGCAAATTTACCCCCTGAGTTACTTCTTGACATAATTCGGCGGATAGAAGTGAGCAAGACCTCATGGCCTGCCTGTAGGCCATGAGGGAAACGACAAAAGAGGTTGTGAAGACTCCTGAGCAATGCGGTTTACTCACTTTCCCCATGTCATTGAAGCAGGTTAACTCCCCCTCTTCGCTCCTCGCCTTTGTTCTTGTGGTCCTCTCCATATCTCTTGAGTTTGTTATTTTGTTTTTGTATAATTCACATTAGCCAGGACCAAGAGATTCTCTCATTCAGTGCTTCATAAAAAGGGAAAGACAACTTCTACATACTGGTTGTATATTGGTCTGAGCCCTGGTAAATGATGCTATGCTTTTGATTGTCAGTGATTGCGATATTCTTAAAGAGATTTTGGGGAGGATAATATGCCCTTTGAAAACTTTGAACAAAAGTTTTTCTTGTTCAGTTACAGCTCTCATCCTTTTAAATCTTGACTATTTTTTTAGAAGTTATATTGTGGAGGAATATAGATCATTATTTCATTGTTGAGCTTCTCTAACCTGTTCATCTAATTTCAGTTCTTTCTTATTGATAACAGAGGAGCCTGTTGTTTTATATTCTATAAGTTGATCATGGCAGATTCTGAAATTGTGCTCAAAGTTCAAACATACTAGTGAAATATGAATTTGTAGGGCAACCTAGTTTTCAGATCTTAGTTTTTTCTTATGCCTAATTCTTTCTTTTAAAACAGCTGATCAATAAAAAGTCTACATAATGATTCCAGTTGCTAATTGCATTACACTGACGATATTGACCCAATCACAGCATTTTCAGGTGATGTTAGTAAATTATTACATGCAGCAAAACAGATTAGAAGGGCAGAAAATACAGATCTATACAATAAAACACCAAGGAGTTTGAATTTTGATCTCACGCATATTTTTCCCCTCCAAACCATCCCATCACTCAATTCTATCACATGTTTAATTCATTTAATATTTGATTAATTTATAGTTTAACAGAATTATTGTTTTATACATTGTACATACACATGTTGAAAAAAGTTTGTTGGGTTATACATTTTGAGATACTTTTTGATGTTATTTTTTAAAAATTAATAGATAGAAATTAATTTTAAATGATGTAATCAAATAAACACAGAAATAAAAAATTGTTAATTAGTATAGTGGGATTAATTTTTTACATGATCAAATTTTATATTTTATCGTGCTTGTGTCTTCAGGCATGAGTTATAACTAGTTTTCTCATATCCTTGGTTGCAAATGATTTTTCTCGAGCTAGTAATGTGTATGTTGGCAAATCGAGGTCAGGTTTATAAGCCTGTTCTCCCAATTTTTTGTATTATTATGTTTCTTTTTCCTTGTGATTAATTTTTTAAGTCCAATTTCCTTGGCACAAAGTTTGTTGTTTATGATAGTCAGCCTCCATGTGAATCTACCAATGCATAAAAAAATCTATTCAAAGGAGGTGTCTTCAAGGGTACCAGTTGGTAATTACAAAGTGGATACCATATCTTACGAGCTCAATGTCCTACGTACTAGAGGACGAAGGAGGATGAAGTACACAATGCTCTTGATTCCTGTGTCTGCAATTCAGAAAGGTGGAACTGCCCCAACTCCAGGCTCCAGCAACATTTGGGAATGGTCTTGATGAGAAATTCTCTCCCTTATCGGATTTGAATGCAAAGACCACGAATCAAGCTCAACTTTTCTATCTGAACCATTGGAAACATTTGGCAACACAGGAGATCCACTAATTTTGAAGAAAAAAGCTCCTAGATGGCATGAGCAATTGCAATGCTGGTGCCTAAATTTCAAAGGACGCGTCACAGTGGCATCTGTTAAGAACTTTCAGCTTGTGGCAGCTGTTGATTCATTCCAAAATGTTCCAGCTGCAGAGCGGGACAAAGTGATACTGCAATTTGGAAAATTGGAAAAGACATTTATAAGATGGACTATTGCTACCCCCTCTCCACCTTTCAAGCCTTTTCAGTCTGTTTAAGCAGCTTTGACACTAAACCAGCAAGCAAATAACTATATTCTATTCGTATCGACTATCGAGTGTCCTTATAATGCTTGGTTGCCTAAAAGGTGTTTGTTCATATTTTTTTGTAAATGAAGGTCCTTAGGCTTTAACATTTGTCATTAGTGGTGCCTTTGAGATGCAGGATTAGAATATGTGATGGCAGAAACCTGCAGTATAGCAGTTCTGTAATCACATAATAATTTTTCCGTCTGCTTTGGCCAGAAGTCAAACAGTCTTCTTAGTCGCAAGAAGATTTCATGTCAATTGTTTATTGGAATCCTTATGTAATTGAATACAGAACATATTACACACCACACAGACAATGGTTTTGCAGTACTTAAAATCGGTGATATAGCATCACTTATCATGCACAGATTTGTTTGGTAACTGCCAGCATGTGGCGTTGTAAATATTTTGTAATTTACTTGTGTGTTTCAAAGGATTCTGGTTTACTTTATGACTTGATTGGTTCTGTTGGATTACGACAGAAAACTAGCTGGACACCAGGATTTCTTTCGGTAATGGAACTATTGAACATAATTGAGTTATTGACACCCTGTATGTTGCTGTTTGTATATGCCTTTGTTGCCTGATCTTGTTTGGTGTTTGCATCTTCAGACTTTGTTCTTTTGGAGTTTCCCTCCCTATCAGTGGTGGCTTTGTCTCTTTCATCGGGATTGACATTATAACCTCTGTAAATTTGAAATTTTCTTTCTCACTGCTGATTCAGAACCTAGGTGCATGGATGCTCCTCTATTTTTGCCAGCAAGGGTTATAACACTCGTGAGTTTCTTTTCCATGGGATACTTTTGGTGCCCAACAGTCATTTTGTGAACAAACTTGGAAATGTTATCCCTGATCTCTCTGTGCAGGGGAGTTTGCTCTCGATTGAATATAGCAGGCTCTTGATGAGATTCACTTACTGTGTTTTTGTCTTGCGGAGGTGATAGCACGGCTTTGGTTTGGTTTCCATTAGATACAAAGGTAGTTAACATCTTTGTGCCTAGAACCTCTTGCATCTTCTGCTGGTTTTGTTCTGTTTCAAATGCAAAACATGGCTGCTCTTTGATTTGTGCTTTTGAGCCTGACAACATTTTGTGAAGCTCTGCGATGCTCCTCTGCTTTGATTCCTCATTTGCTATGCCATTTTCCTTTTTCACTACGGCATTCCCTTGTTTAGTTTCCTCACTCTTGAAATCTGATACTGAGAGGGGATTCAAATTTACCCTAATTGAAGGAGAATCTAATTTTTGGGATGACTTCAGTGTTTCTGGAGCTACCGTAGGAGTTGGAGCGGTGGCTGCTACAGAGACATATACTTTTGGAAGTGTTGCCATCCCAATGGGTTGAATGGTTGTATCTAAGACTTGGTTTTGGGAGTTGGTGGCAGTATTAGATGCTATTTCTGTTTGCTCTACTGATTGTGGTTGGGACACAGCTGGTTTTTGTTCCCTTTTTCAGAGACAGGTGGTAGGGCCTCAGTGGAACTTGGAGGAGGCTGTGGCTGAGGCCGAGGCTGAAAGCACTCTTGAGTCGTGGATTGTATTGTTTTAGATGGAGAATGAGTCCGAGTAAATGCTCCTGCAGTTGCTTGCACTTGAGTAGCTTCTATAGCAGGGGAAGAAGGGACTGAAGATGTTTTGCCTGCAGGATCAGAGGTCAAACGAGATGGGGATCGAGTCTGAGGTGCTGTTTGAGCTGTACTTTGGGGCTGGGATGTTGAATGAGATGGGGTTGAGGTCTGAGAGGTAGCTTGCAGTGGAGGGGATGCATGAGATGGTGATGGGGGCAGAGTAGCAGCTTGTGTTTGTGTTGCTGTGCGAGATGTTGATGCTAGTTGAGAAGGTGCCTGAGAATGAGTGAATGGATGGGATGGTGAAGATGGCTAAGAGTTGTTGGGGGTGTCCCCATAGGCTGAATTCTGGCACCTGAGTGGGAGTTGGTTTGGTGGGTTGAGCAGGGGTTCGGGTGGCAATGGGTTGGCTCTGTGTGGCAGTTGTAGTGGGTTGGGTACGTGTTGGGGTGGCAGCGGGTTGGCTCTGAGTGGCAGTTGTAGTGGGTTGAGTACGTGTTCGGTTGGCAGTGGGTTGGCGCCAAGTGGGAGTTGCAATGGTGGGCTGGGTAGGGATTTGGGTGGCATTGGGTTGGCTTCGACTGGTGGCGGTGGGTCGTCTGCGACTGGGAGTTGTGGTAGTAGGTTGAGTTGGAATACGAGTGGTAGTGGTTTGCTCCGAGTTGGATTTGTGGTGGTGGGTTGGGTGACTTTAGGTTGGCTCCGAATGGGAGTTGTGGCAGTGGACCGAGCAGGGGTTTGGGATGCAGTGGGTCTGCTCTGACTGGGAGTTGGTGTAGTGGGTTGGAGAGGGGTCAGGGATGAATCAGTAGCTGGTGGAGCTGACCCAAGGAAGTGAAGGCGAGATATCTCCCTTCTTTCCATGGCTGATTAAGAAGCACAATTTGGTGATAGAAATGGGCGATGGTTAGTTGTGTTCCCAGTTCGGCCATTTTAAACATGACTAGGGGCCAGTATAAATAGTTTAGTGTTTGATACCTTGGAAGCTTTGTGGAAGTGACTTGTGACTTTTTTATTGCTTGCATGTTACTTTCACTGCTCGCTTCTTTGCCTCGTTGGTGACAAATACTTCTTTGTGAGATTCGCTGGATTCTCTAAACAAATTTCCTAGGGTGGCAAGTAAGGCATCTCATTACAATTGCCTGTGTGTTGTATGTTTTCCAGTACACCTTTACTTTTCTCCTGAAGGCGTCCCAGACATACGCGTGGTAAGTTTAGATTAGGAGATATACAATGAAGCTGCAACCTGCCTGGTGAGTGTGTTGTCCCATAATCAAAGCATGCATGTCTGCAGGGGGGTGCCCATACATTACTTCTATGGTGGGTGGGTGGTTGGTGGTGGCAGTGCTTGTGGTGGGTAGGCAGATAGAGAGGAGGAAGGGGTAGGTGGTTGGGGGTGTGCTTATGGTAGAGGCACTCGTGAGAGAGAGATGGATGAGACGAAGGGAAAGTTTGTAAGTGAAAAAATGCGATATATGGTCTCAAGCAACTTGATTCGAGATATAAAGTTTAATTATAACGAAGATAGATGGATTTCTAGAGAAATAATGCTGATCATTCCCTGTTTATTCACAAAAGAATGAAAGCGCTAAAAGGGAGCCAATGAAGGCTTAACTATCGTATAAAACAAGATGCCAAAAAATAGGAAAACAATTTGGGTAAATGCTACAGCATCTCAATGTCGATCATACAGAACATCTACATTGACATCTGACGTTTACAAAGAGTGTCCTATAAAATAAATAGCACAAAAACTCAGAAACTGCAGTATTAATAAATTTTGCACATTCTCTTGAATCAAAGAAAAAATGTAAATCCAAATCGAACAATTAATGGCTCTTGGCTGTTGGTATCTTGGAGAATAGTAACCTGGAAAGCACTAGATCAAGACCATTGGAAGAAAATGCCCCAATGTCAAAAAGAAAAAGAAAAAGAAAAAGAAAAAAAGATTTGTGCCTGAATCACCTAATTATTCTCATTAATCACAAAGATCATGTATTGAAGATGCTAAACAGGAACAACATTGGAATTTTCATAATGACTGTCTCACTACGCAGGATCAATCAAGAAATAATTCAACATTTATGCTGTAAAACACAGGATGATAGCCCCAGTAGCTCACATGGAGAATCAGTCCGAGGGGATAGAAATGATTTTCGTTTTTAGGGGCACAAAGCCATGGCAAATGCACCGACATGGATAAGTTCACGTTATAATGTGCAAAAGAGCTCAATTTACTCCGGCTGACCATGCAATATGTGCCGTTTTCCAAAGTCATTATAGAATTATCTCATTGTTGGTCTCTTGCGGCCTACAGCTTGAGCTGCCATCAAGGCCACTTTAAGCGGCTCTGATGCTGCAAATCCCTGGGCTTCCATCAACCCATGCATCCTTCGGGCATCCTGTACAAAACCACGAGCTATCAGCGCATTTATAATCCTCTCAAATTCCTCTGGTCTGAGTAGCTCTTTCTTGGCCTCCACGACCCCAAGTGCTTGAAGAGCTTTCTTCTCAACCCCAGCCTTCAAGTACATATCACAAAGGCTTATATGAACCTTAAAAGGAGGAGCCTCACCCTCCACAGAAATCTTGTCCAATACCTGCTCGGCTTCATCAATAAGCTGTAACTTACCCAACCAGTCTACCAGAACAGTGTAAGTAGCAACCCCAGGCTCAAATCCATCCTTCTCAAGCTGCAGTAGTAGATTCAAGGCCTTATCCAGTAAATTCTTCTTCTCATAAGCTGCAATCATGCTAGCAGTGCACCTATCGTCAGGCTTGTGTCCTATTTTTATCATGTAGTCAAAATTGTGCCTTGCCTGATCTGGGTCACCAGCTTGCCCAAACGCCTCGACAAGCAATGTACATGATTCTAAACTTGGCTGGAACCCTGCAAACTGCATAGTGGTAGCAATTCTTTGTGCTCCATTAACATCACCACATTGGGCAAATGACCGAAGCAAGGCCATATAGATCTCCTTTGTGGGTTTAATATCCCTTGCCTCCATTTCTCTCATCAATGACTCACCCTGCTTTGGTTGGCCAGCATTTACATAGGCCATAATCATCGAGTTGTATACCCTCATGTCGGGCTGGAAGCCTTGGCTCCGCAAGCTTTCAAATGCTACCTTTGCACGATCAATGTTGCTTGCCTTGCTGTACATGTGAACCATAATGGTGGATGTTAATATATCGGGCAAGATTCCATTTTCATTCATCTTTTTAAGAATCGTCTCAGCATCTTTTAGGCGGTTCTCTTTAGCATGGGCATCAATCAGCTTTGAATAGTCCCGTATGTTAGTTTGGAAGGACTCCTCGTCAAGTACAAGTTCTGCAATCTACAATAAATCACATAGGAATCATGGCGTTAGCCCAAAACCAAATGTTAGTTGCTAACACTAAATAGAAATTGCAACTAGCATGATTGAAAGAATATGAATTATGCCTACATTCGCTTTGCTACATTAACATGCATGCAAGAAAACATCGAAACTTCATGACAACTTAATGTTGAACTAGCAGAGTGGTTAGCTAGGACACAAGGCTCGTATACCAATTTGGGATGAGTTATTAGGGACAAACTCTAACAGTCCCCTTCATGTGCGATCACTTGCATTTGGAGAGGCAGACAAAATCTTGCAATGCCTAGCTTAGATATCATGTCAAAATGTTCAACTTAAACTAAATGGAAATGACTGGACATACCTATGGGCCTCATATACTAGGTTTGGTTGCTATAAATTATCCTTGTGGGACAAGCACTAAGACCCCATGTCACGTCCAATTCCTACTTGCATGTTGACTGTTTCGATACCAACATGCATGACTGAAATATGAACACAAAATACTGACTCCAACATGGGGAGACCAATCCACTATACTGAACACAAACCCAACATGTTCAGCTGAATAACAAGAACCGGAAAACAAACTACTGACATTTGACTGATGGATTTTCCAGAACCCAACTCTGATACCCTATAAAGCATCCAAGTCAAAATAAGTTCACATTGAGTGACAATGCTCACAAGGCTTATACTATAGATTGGAGGACAGAATTATACTGATGCGGGACAAGCTCTAAGAAGAACAATTGGAGAATGGCCATAGAAAGAAAAAGAAAAGGGCAACTAACACGCAAGCTCAGACCTGTGTGCAAGCATCAGGTAGAAGAAAATGAATTTGGGGGTTTAATGAGACAATTAATTCCACCAAAAGAAGCAACACCAATCATTCCCATCATCAAACGATCTGTACAGCATAAATAGATCATGATGCTCTGACTGATTCATTGCCTGGCATCTTCAAACCCAATTAAAAATTCGAATGAAGCCCAACAGAATATATAAACCATCCTGACATACAGTTTGAGATTCTCTTGAATCATGATTCATAGGCCTCAATATAAATGTACATAACTTTTCACATGGATGCATGTATGTCAGGTTTTCTTATCGATAAAAGTTTCATCATATATCAGGTAGATGGGTTGAAGGCATATACTCTTGACCTCTTTATCCAAACGGAATCAAGTGTTAAATTCCACACTCAATGTAACCTTCTACCTCATAAAAAGGCCATTTCACATCCTCACATTGGAATCTTGGGCTATATAATGACCAAAACTAGCATTATAATTCCTATGATAGGATTCCATAAACTTCCAACATTGACTGGGTAAGAAAATGCCAAAATACAAGTCAACAAGAGACCTTGCTAAAGCACAAATCATGAACCTCTAATCAAAGAAAAAGACAAATCAGGAATGTTGTACCTTATAGTATAAAGAAGTATTTTGTTCTTTCAATCTATCAAGCAAAGTTATCCAGTCAATCCTGCTAGGCTGGAGAAGCTCTACCCATTCAGCTAACAGTGGAGAAGGGTCATCCTCCTCTTGCAATGAAAAGATACTCTCAGTAACAAGTTTGCATTTCCCAGATATTGGCTTTGGTTCCTGAGGCCAAATGACTTCTCCAGTCTCATGAATCTTATCAGCCACTTCAGCCCACTTTGGGTCGGAGAGATCAAGACCATAAATCTTGTATTTAATTTTCCCTCGTCTCTTAGGGAGAGTAACAACCTTAGATTTCTCTTCAGCAACGCCCGTATCATCTCCAACAGCCTCTTCACCCATGGTTCCATATTCCTTGCCGACTGTTTCATTACCTTCTTGCCGAGCCTGGCCTTCCTCTTTCTGGAGACGCTCTAAACTCTGATAAAACTCACTCTCTTCCATTTTCTCACGAGCCCATTTAAACCTAAGCTCTCTTAGCATATCCCCACGAATACCCACTTCACTAGCAAATCTATACATCTCCTTAACTTCTTCAGATTGAAGAAAACCCTTCATTTTTTCCTTCTTCCTTGCTTTCTCCATGTCTTCCAATACCACATTGCTAACCTCCCACACTGTTTTCCACAAATCTTCACTGAAGTCTTGTGACGGAGTGGCTGCAGCTGCACTGAGCATCTGCTCAAGGCCACCTTTCTCCATTTCCAATACAACCTTCCCAACAATGATCAGAAGCATGCTGTCAATTGCCTTCTTGTCAAAGTCGGGGTAGGCTTCATTGAGCTTCCCACGCATTATCCAGACAAATCGGGATAAGAACTCATTCATGGTTCCATCCTCCTCTGTATCGTCCTCCATGTCACTCCCCGAGTCATCCAATTTACCTTCTTGACTAGAATGAATGTATCTGTTGAAATGCCAAAAGGGTTTTGGGTATATAGAGTTTAGGATTGGAGGAGAGGCTCGACTGTTTGGTGAATGAATGGATGCGGAAATTTGGGAGGTAATAGTGGAGGCATTCCGGTGACAGTTTGTGTATGAGGATAAAATCCTACTTTCAAGTTTTGAAATATGGTTGATTGTTTGTCTGGAAAAGAAGTGTTTCAGATTCATTTCTGGTTGTATAGGTGTGTGACAGAGAGAAAGGGAGAGGGATAACAAGCCAAGAAGCAAAACAGAATTAGGGCTTATAACGTTAAAACCCTACCACAAAGTCCCACTGTAGCTGAATTGAAGCATTGACACGCATCTGATTGTATGCATTTCAGGACAAGGAAATCTGAAAAAACTGGGACACAATAATGGGACAAAAAAATAATGTAATCATTGCAAAAAAAGCAAATAAATTACAGGTAAGTAAGAAAGAGAATGAAACATGTAGGAGTAAATTTTGATGGGGACATCAAAAGGAAGCATAAGCTGAATGGATTCGTAAAATTTTCATGAAGTACTACAATATATAAATATACACAACTGTAGAAAGCTTGGTTCACCTGAACACAGGCGAGTATATAAGGGAGCTTTGACGTTGCAGAGAACCAAACATTACAGAGCAGCAGAGGACAATTAGTTAGGGCTTCCATTTACAAGGGCGAGCTACCACTCTACTGTTTAATAGCAATACAGTCTACAGAGCCCAAAACAAGCCCATAAGAGCTAACCTAAACTGAGCCCATACTTGGCCTTTTCCACAAGACTTCCCCACTCCATTCTAAAATGATGGGCCAAGCTAAGGGTCTGTTCTGCTTTTAGTTTGGTAATATTTTTAATAAAACTGAAAATTAAATGCTAAATTTTAATTATTTGTTATACCCTGAAATTTAAGTACTAAATTAAATCAATTTTTTTGACAAGTATAAAGATTTAAAATCTGAAAATAAAGAATTTTCTAATTCTATTCATCTAATATTTACTTTAAAATTATTTGTCAAATATACAATTATCTGAAAAAATACTATGACATATCACATTATATCTAAATTTAACAACATAATAATAAATTTAATTTAAGTTATATTGATCACAAGAAATATCATCATAATTATAAAAAAATTACAATTACGATATAGGTCAAAATTTTTAATTGCATTGCAATTTACTCATGTAAGTTGACGATAAAAAATTAATGTTTGTGTCCCTCTTTTGGCTTCAAGCTTGCTGAAACATGCTTTAAGTATTTCATCTCCTTTTAAGTAATGCTTAATAAATTAAGTGACATCAAATATTATTTTATCAAAACCCACTTATTCAAAAGTAGTTTAGAATCCATTCAATGCTAAGTGTTGAATTATGTCATCAAACACTATAAACATCAATTTTTTTTTTTATTAGAACTATTGTTGCTGAATAAGTTCAAAATACCTCAATCAACTCCTAAACATAAGTACCAATTAAAGTCAAGAATGATCCAATGTCCGAATTAATAATTTGTTCCGAACTAACCTTAACAACTGAACTACTCATGCCGGTTAAAAAGTATTTGACAACCATTATGTACTATTGTCATTTGAATGGCTTTTGTTTTGCTTTTTCAGAGTGGTAATTTTGAATTGCAATTATGGCAGGATCTGAATCCAGCCCATCGGCCCAAAGTACTCGACCCATTTTATGGATAACAACCATAGAAGATTGGGTTTGGAACATAAGGGCATGTTGAATTGTTAGGCGTACCAAAGGTTCAGGATTATAAGCTAAGATGATGTAACGACAATCCTTGAAAAATCTATGTGGCTGTTGCACATCAGGCACAAGAATTGAAGCCATTTGTATCGAATAGCAACAAACAACGAACTTACTTACACTTATGATATCATTATGCAAGTATAAATATCATTTTTCCTTTGTTAAAAACAACTCTCTGTGTGTGTATCAAAAAGAACTAACTGTTTAAATTTGATGGCAATATGTCCAGTTTGGTCAACATGACATAGCTAAGTACCTTCTAATTGTACCAGTTTGGTCATATCACAAGCATAGAGTAAAGAAAGGAATTTAAACACCAATTGTAGTGAAGATGAACGGTACTAATGGTGGTGGTGGGAGACAGTGATATTTGTGGTGGGTTGATTGTTGATGATGATGGTGATAGTGACAGTCACTAGTAACGACGGTAATGGGTTGTGGGTGACAATGATAGTGGTTTGCAATAATGATGAAGATGATGGGCAACAACGGGTACATTTGAACAATAGTGTAACGAATTGTAGTAAATAGAGGTGGTGGTAAGTGTGGTAGGGGTAGATGATATTGGATGTTGACAGTGGTGGGTGATGATAATTTGTGGTGGTTAGTGGTGGTAAGTTTGATAGGAGTGGGTGACAATAATTGGCGGCGATGATGGACAATGATAAATGGTGGTGAGTTGTGATAGCTGGCAACAATGAGTGGTGGTGAACAACAATCGTAATGGTGAGTGTTGATGGAGGGAAACAGTGATAATGGTAATAAATATAAAAATCAGATAAAAATTGTGGTGAATGATGACGGTAGACAATGATAATAACTATCGATAGTGGGGCAACGACAACGGCAAAAGTAGTGGTGATGTAGGGGTGGAGGTGGAATAGTGACAATAGTGGTAGTTATAATGACAGCGGTGGAAGTGGTGGTTGTTATGACAGAGATGGTGATGAAGTGGCAACGACAACAGTGGTAGTGGTGATGGTGGTGGGGTGATACGGATGGTAGTAGTAGAGCAATTTCAAATACTATATATATATAAAATATTCATAAGTAGTTAAAAGTTTTAGAAATACTTTTAAAAAATCACCCTAAATACACCAGTAAAAGCCTATTTTCCGTACTAAATTTAAGGTGTTAATATTAACATTCAAATTAACTTTAAAGTAAAATTTAAAGAGATCTCAATTGCGAAAAGTAAAAATTATTTTATTTATCTTTTGAGATTTAAATTATATTATATTTTATTGTATAGATATGCTAATCTAATTATGAATCTTCAAACCAAACAAAACAATAATAAGTTACAGTAAATTGGGTGTAGCGAAATGAGATCTAGAAACAGAACCATATAAAGTAACAAGAACTGACCCCTGAAAAGATAAATAAGGCTGTTTTCGCTTGCTCACAAAAGCCTAGATTCGATCCTACATTTGGCTCCATAAAAATGATACATATCTAATCTTTGGAATATGACCACAAATTCGTCATTAACACAGGAGCACAGTACTCCTGAGACTGAAAAATATATGTCCTATCTACCGAAGAGCATATGTTCCAACCCAAGATTTTGTGCAATTTTCATTGGTTGTCATATCACTTTCATTTTCTTTGACTGAGCATTGGTTGGAACATACACTTTATATGTCTATCTCCTTATCTTTAGGAGCATTCCCACGCCAAAAGATCCTTTCTACTCCTATGGCACGAGGATTCAACTAATAGAGATCCTCTCTCTCCAAATTGTTTTTACCTTTTATTCAAAGATTCCCCTGATTTGGTTCACAAGTTTCATGCTTTTGTCAACAGATTGGTGGACCATGTGAATGGGGTCACCTCCGAAGAAGTAACTGCATTCAAATTTGCAAATCCTACAAACGGGGGCACTTAATCCACCTAAAGGTTTATAAAGTTGGGTATATTGTCCAAGGACAAACAAAACACTAACTTTGGTAGAATTAAATTATTACCGTAGAATTCGAATACTCAAATATAAAGAAAAAAAAAACTATCTTTTTATTATTGGCTCTAGGCTTTGAATTAAAATACATATGTATAGGTACAAATCTAGATCAGACGCTGCAAACATATTCAAAAGTTACAAATGAAAGCCTTAAATGCAAATATTAGGAAGTGATTGGCTAATGTCCTAGGATGGCAACCTACCATTTGAAAATTTGACACACAAACAAAGCCAACTTGGACTTATGAGTAATATGTCGGCAACATACTTGGTCACATGTGGGGAAAATGTATTATCAACCACCGTCCAACATGTAAATGCATTATGGTTCAAGGTCTCAGTATACGACCTTCAACTTAGAGAGCTGTATCGTTCGTAGCATCACATCATTGTATCAGACCATACAACATAGAGTCTGTTTGGTGGGTGTGGGAGAGTTTTGGAACATGAATTGAGGAATAAACTCTCTCAAACCTATGTTTAGCAAATACACATGTAGTCTAGGTTTTGAAATCTGGCCCGGTCATGAAACCCAAGTTCATGGGTTTCATGAAACCCAGGAAGGTGAGTTTCATATGTGGGTTAATAGGTTTAATATGTAAATGACATGTATACCCTCATATATCCTATATACTTCATATATACATATTGTTTAAGGGGCACAATAGTCATTTATATATAAATATATTATCATAATAGTCATATATCTCTACACATACCAAACATAGATATGAACAACATTAAATGTTATTGATCAAAAAAAAAAAAAACAACATTAAATGTTAAATCTCATCTTTAGTTTTAAAAAGCTTTGGACAAGTCAATCCAAACCTCTCTCAAAAAACATATCAAACAACCTCCTAAGGTTTGTCACTTAATCACCAAATTTTCTGACATTTAAAACATTACATATAAACTCCCTGAGATTTGTACACGAGTAACACATAGACCCCTACCATTAAGGTTCGTTAGTATATCCGCTAATAAATTACTTTCAGACTCCTAAAATTTGAAACGTGTAATATTTAGGACCCTTAAGTTTAAAATATTACACTTAAACCAAAAATACCCCAATTAAAGATAGATATCAAATATTTGAAATTTGACAATCAAAATTCATGTTCTATTATATCATTTATTAAAATAAAATTAAAAAAATCTATTTTTTCTTAAAAAATCATATTTAATACTGTTGATACTGAAATTTGGATGATCTCCACATCAGTTTGTTGGACTTTGATTACTTGAAAAAGAAGTCAGAGACCAAAGGGGAGCTCCGGGGATCGACCTTTCAATGCCTAAGTTAGTAAGTGACTTAAATGTATGAATTGCGTTTAGAAGTTAAAAGTAACATACCTAAAATATCTTGGACTAAATGCACTTTTCACCTTAGGTTAATTTTTCCATCATCAAATGCAAACATATGAAATAAACCTAATAAACACATTTGCATGTTCCATTATATCATTTGTTAAGAGTATTGAGGTATTGTGTGTAAATTGTTAAAATTATTAGAGTACTATGTGTAAATACAAGATGATGTATGTGTAATTCTTATATTATGAGTTAACTATAAATATAAGTGATTTTGTGAGAGTAGGTTAAGTTATAACCACTCTCCGTCTTTCTCTAATATTTAGTTTATTTCTCCCAACTTAACATGGTATCAGAGCGATTTGATCCTAAATACAAATCTTATTATGTTTGTGTTGTAAAAAAAAAAAAAAATTTACTGTGGTGCTGGTGCTGTCGTGCTACTGTCGTTGTGGTGGTGGTGCTGTTGTGTTGCGGTCGTTGTTGTGGTGGTGGCGTGGTGTTCCAGCGTAGTGGTGAGGTGTTGTTGATCCTCTGTGACCTGCGACTGTGGTGGTCATCGAGGCCGTTGGCTTTGCAGTGGTTTGGGTGGAGCTGTTGTGGT